TGTGAAGGCGATTCGCACTGACCGTGGGGGAGAGTTCCTGAGCAAGGACTTCTCAACTTGGCTGAAGAAGCAGGGCATAAGGCACTCTCTTACCATGCCCTACTCTCCTGCAATGAACGGCATCGCCGAGCGTGCGAATCGGACACTCACGGAGACGGCTCGGGGACTTCTCATTGAAGCCGGTCTACCCAATTACTTTTGGCCGGATGCGGTGCGGCATGCTTGTGTGGCCAAGAACAGAGCCTTGACTCACGTGGGAGAAGACAAATGGGTGCCCTATGTGGAGTGGATTGGAAGGAAGCCGAAGGTGGATATGCTTCGGGTGTTCGGGTGCATGTGCATGGCACTTGTGCCTAAGAAACTTCGGCACAACAAGCTTGATGCCAAGGCAACATGGGCCGTGCACCTGGGCATGGCTCAAAACAGCAAGGGATGGCTTCTTTGGGACCCATTTACCAAGAAGTTCCTGGTGAGCAGAGATTGCAAGTTCATGGAGAACTTACCGTACAAGGAGTGGAAGGCGGAGAACCAAGCGAAGATTGGTGTGCGGCTTGGAGAGGTGAAGAGTACCGGCTTGGAGCATGTGGAGCTGCCCTTGGAGCTGAGTAGCAGCAGCACATCACAAGGCAATCTCCTCAAATGAATGGGGAGAAGAGGAGGAGGAGGTGCAGCAAGGTGATGAGCGTGCACCGTCACTTCCGCCTCGTGCTACAAGTGCTCGCGGGAACGACCAGATTTACCGCAACGCCATGAGAGCATCAAGTCCCTGCAGCAGAGGAGGAAGGAAGGGGAGAAGGAGGACTCAGCCCCCAATAGGTTGAGCTATGACCGGCTTGGAGGACCAGCCAACTCAACCTTGACCGGTTCGGCTCTCATGCTAGGCGATGATGCGGAAGATGAAAGCGAGGAGTGCGCTTTTGCCTTCTTCTCTCCGGTGGAGATGCCGGGGAGCCTACAAATCCCAAGGAGGCTTGGGAGGGCCCCAATGGGAAGGAGTGGAAGAAGGCCTCAGATGAAGAAATGGGGAGCATCATAGAGAACGACACGTTTGACTTGGTGAACCTACCTCCGGGGCGGAAGGCGATCTCTTCCAAGTGGCTCTTCAAGCGCAAGACCGACGCCGACGGCAACATCGAGCGCTACAAGAGCAGACTTGTAGCCAAGGGTATCAGCAGCAAGAGAAGAAGGACTACAATGAAGTGTATGCCCCTGTGGTGAAGGGTACAACCCTTCGAACCCTCTTCGCCGCGGCGGCCATCAAAGGATGGGTGGTGAAGCAAATGGATATAGTAACGGCCTTCCTCAACGGCGTTTTGGAGGAAGAGACCTACATGGAGCAGCCAGAGGGTACAATGATGGGAGTGGCAGAGTGTGGAAGCTGAAGAAAGCACTCTATGGCCTCAAGCAAGCCCCTAGGCAATGGTACATCAAGCTGCGGGAAGTCTTGGAGGCGATCGGCTTCACTCCCTCAACGGCCGATCAATCCTTGTTCATGCTTGGCGAGGGGGAGCAGAGGAGCTTCATGGTGGTTTATGTGGATGACATCCTCATATTCTCACCCTCCTCTGACCTTGTGAAGGAGGTGATGCTGAAGCTTCAAGACAAGTTCAAGTGCAAGACCCTTGGTGACGTCAACTACTACCTTGGGCTTCACATTGAGCGAGATGTGGAGAAGCGGTGGATGCGAGTGCATCAAAAGAAGTACTTGGAGGCCTTGGCTGCAAACTTTGGGAAGAGTGAAGGTCATGTGGCTACTCCTCTTCCCTCAGGGTTCAAGTGTGTGAAAGGACCAGCGGAGGAAAGTGTTGGTGAAGAGGAGAGGCGCCGTTTTCACTCCTTGGTGGGCAGCCTCATGTATGCGGCCGTTCACACAAGGCCGGATGCAGCCTTTGCTACCGGCAGCTGGCTAGGGTTGTCCAATGCCCTAATGAAGAGCAGGTAGCAGCTGGAGAGAGGGTGGCCAAGTACCTTGGCCAAACAGCAACTGTTGGACTGCAATACTCCGCGGCGGCACAAAGGCGTCAAAAGGGTGCGGATGGAGTCGAACCCGGGAGGCTCTTTCTCACCGCCTTCTCTGATGCATCTTGGGCATCAGAACCAGAGGACATGACAAGTGTGGGAGGCTTCATCTGCTGTGTTGGTGGAGGGCCAACAGCTTGGGAGAGCAAGAAGCAAGTGGACCAAGCATTGAGCTCGGTGGAGTCCGAGTACATGGCACTCTTCCGTGCCATAAGAGAGGTTGTGTGGCAGCGGCGTTTGCTAGCTGAATTGGGGGAGGAGCAGCAAGGACCTACCCCACTCTACTGTGATAGCCAGGGTGCTATTGCATTGGCTAAGAACCCCGTTCTTCATGGCCTTACCAAGCACATGAAGGTGAAGTGGCATTGGGTGAGGAGCATGGTAACCGCGGGTGAAGTGGAGTTGCACTACGTGAAGACGACGGCGCAGCCTGCTGATATGATGACCAAGAGGCTGGTTGAGCAGCAGCATTGGAAGTGTTGCAAGCTTGCTGGGATGGCTCTGAACTAAGGGGAGCAGATTCTAAGGCCAACCAATCCGAGGGGGAGTTTGTTGGTGCAACCCTATGGCTTGCACTCGGCTTGTCGTCCTTGTTTGTGTGTGTGCATGCATGGCATGGAATGAATTGTGAGTCTATGTCATTGCTATCCAGTGCTTGTGTGTGTGTTTGAATGGTGTATCACAATGTGGTTTGTGTCGGTCAAGACATTAGCGAGTTTTTACAACTCGCATGTCAAGTCGTCGTTTGTGTGTCGCATGTGTTTTTTCTATTTTGTCGAGTGTGAAGTGTCCATCATGTCGCAGGTGTGTGCAGCAAGCCCCCATCAACTCAAGAAGAATTTATCTTGCAGATCCAAGAACAAGAGCTCAAATTTCAAGCCAAGGGACGCGGATAAATATTAAATAGTGAAAATAGTAACGTTACTTCGGTGTAGTGTTACATTTCACTTGGTGTAGCCCCTTGGAGGGTTGGTTTCGAGACTCTTCATGGTTGGGACTCTGTGGTGGTGTACCACCAACCTGGACCTCGGCTCTTGGGGTATGTAGAGGCTGGGAACCATCTCCCTCTCGAACTCTTCTTGCTAAGTTTGTACTCCTAAGACTATTGTGGCTGCTATACCTCCTGCCAGTCAAACCGCCATAGCGTCGTCAAATCTTCATGGAATTTCATGATTCAACTTGCTGCTGATAGACGACAGCAACACGCTTCAGATCCAATTTACAGATCACCGTTTGATTCAGTGACCAGATCGTTATCAATATTTGAAGCCGTCTGACGGAAATCCGACTGTGCTCTCTATCTCTCATTATAGGCACATCTAAGCCTATTGTGATTATAACATCCCCCACGCTTCTACATACCCTGAAAGATCCCTGTCTCACTCCCCTGCACTCTGTCAGCGGCCCTTACCGTTGTTCAATCCACCTGTCTGCCCTTTCTGTGCACCCCTTATGCTATCCCCTACGCTTTCCCCCTCTTTCATCAAGGCTCTCTAACCCCATTCCCCCTCCTCACCATCATCTCCCTTTCGCTATCCCCTGCCCTCACGCACATTCCCCTCCTCCCCCCCCCCCTCCTCACTCGCTCCCTCGCCCCTCTCCTCTTCCCCTCGGGCCGTGGTCCTTCCTCTCCCCATCGTCCGCCCCTCTATTGTCCGTCTCTCTCTTCACACAGGCCATCCGCTCCCCTCCCCACTTTTTCATCCTTCTGCTCCCCCTTCTGTCCCTCCTAAATCGGGGGCTCCACCACCACTGTGCCACTCATTCTCCCCCTCCCTCCTCTTGCCCCCGCACTCTCACTCACCACCCCTCTCACCTTCTTCCACATCTTATTCCCCTCCAACCCCCCTGCATATTCTCTCTCCCACCGCCTATCCGCCATCCACTTCAGCGGAATAGCGGGCGGGGGAACTGCGGGAAGCGCGGGGGAGGGAATAGCGGGGGAGAAAATTGTGGGCAAGGAAAGCGAGGGGTAGGGAATAGCGGGCGATGGTATTGCGGTCAAGGGAAGCGCGGGGTGGGACTCTGGGGCGAGAAAATTGCCGCCAAGGGATGCGCGGGGCAGGGAATAGCGGGCGGGAAAAATGCGGGCAAAGGAAGCTCGGGGTAGGGAATAGCGCGCGGGGGGAATGCCGGCAAGGGAAGCATGGGGTAGGGAATAGCGTGCGGGGGAATTGCGGGCAAGGGAAGCGTGGGGTAGGGAAAAGCGGGCGATGGAATTGCGGGCAAGGGAGGTGCGGGCTAGGGAATAGCGGGCGAGGGACTCGAGGGCGGGGGGGGTGGGGGCTCAGGGAATAGCGGGTGCTGCTGGGATAGCGGGCAAGGAGGGGCAGGCTAGGCTAGTGGGGCCTGTCGCATACATGCCTCTGGCCAAGTCTCCTCTCTGCAGCAGTGGGCCGATGGCAGATCGGCCAAGGTTCCTCGACATCGCGGAGCAGACGACGGGCTATTGCGGGGCTGCGTGTCACGCTCGCGCTCAACTCGATAATGCTACAGAGTGGCGGGTGTACCCCGTGCTTGACGGGTGTGGTGTCTAGGCGTCAGCTGGAGACGGGGAAGATCGCGAGTATGTGGCGGCGCAGAGACCTACCGTATGAGGGAGTTAAACGCGTGCAGGCTCCTTGGAATTGCGCTCAGTTTGGTCCAGTTTGTGTTCAAGAATCCTGAGTGGGAACAGTGTTCTCCAGTGTTGTCTTTTGCTGCGGCGCTCACAAGCTTTTTGCCTTCAGCGGAACAGCCCAATCGTCAACAACCTCTGGTCACAAGCCCCCAGGGTCACGAGATTTGCGTGCGCTAAACCGGGTTACCCTTTTTTCCACGAAAACAAGTTCAGGAATCCTGAACTTGAAGGCAAACCATTCTGAACTCGGGCTTTAAAATCCTACCCACCCTAAAAAATCGCCAAGGTTCAACCTGTCATCTCAGCTCTGAATTTTCAGTCCTGATGTTTCAGCCTCTGAAATTTTTTAGCCAACAGCCCCTCAAAATCCAATCTGAAGCCCTGCCCACACCTCTTAATAGTTACAATTACTGGGTAGACCCAACATGCTCAGGTCCGGGAAAAGTAAAACTTACAGAAGACAGGGATATCGAGAGCAGCTGTCATTTCTCTTTATTGTACTAAGATTATTTGTCCACAGATCCTTGGGGCTTGGGTGCTGAAAATATCGCACTATACAGCCGCATGCGATCACGTCTCTGCAACTCCTCTATCTCTTCCACACTCAGCCTCCCTCTTTGCCCTGCACTTGTCCCGCCCCTACTTACTGACAACCCCGTCCCTTGCTGTGCTGCTGCCGTGGCAGGGGCAGGAGCTGTAGCAGGGGCAGGCGGAGGAATCAAAGGAGTTGCGCTGGCGAAAGGGGCAGAGGCGGATTCAAAGTTAGGAGCAGGAGTGGTGCTGGCTGTGGCAGGCATGGTGGCACTGACGGCAGCAGCAGTAGCAGCAGAAACATTGGCACAAGCATCAGCATTAGCATCCGCAGCAGCAGCAGCAGCAGCAGCAGCAGCAGCAGAAGTAGATGCAGAAGCTGCAGTGGTGAGGAGGGGACCATCACGCGCATCCGGAGCAGCATGTACGTTCGGAGCAGCAGCATGTGCGTTCGGACCACCGTGCAAATTTAGAGCAGCGTGCACGTCTAGCGATCGTTGCAGTGACGTGGCATGCTGCCGTGCCACGTGGCGCCGCCACGCGATCTGGATGGTGAGAGCCGCCCACGTGCGCCAGTGCGGCGAGTAGTAGCGCACCCACCGCTGAATGCGCTGGCTCCTCCAGTTGAACTGGTGGCCAGGGTGGGGAGGCATGGGCATGGCATGTGGATGGTGAGATCGAGCCCCCACATGCACCAGTACGGCGAGTGGTAGCGCACCCACCGCTGGATGCGCTGGCTCCTCCAGTTGAACTGCCGACAGAGAGGGGGAGGGAAGGGGAGGGGGAAGGGGGGGGGTGGATGGGGAGGGAAGAGGATGGGGAGGGGGAGCGGGGGGCAAGGGGGGGAGGGACGTGGGGGCGGAGAAGGCATGGAATGGGGAGGGAAGGGGGGGATGGGCGTGGCATGGCATGGCATGGCGTGGCATGGCATGCAATGCAATCTGGATTGTGAGAACTGCCCACGGGCGACAGTGCGGTGAGTAGTAGCGCAACCACCGCTGGCTGCGCTGGCTCCTCCAGTTGACCTGCCGACAGAAAGGAGGGAGGGAGGGAGGTGGGGGGGGGCATGGCATGCGATGCGGATGGAGGAGGGAGAAGCAAGGATAACGCTCGCCTTTGAAACCTCTTCATTTGCCCAAGTGATTGGTCCTATCAACTCCATGCTTGCTTCTCACACATCTTCCAGCACAAAAAAGGAGGTCTTCAGCCCCCAGGCTCCAGCACAAAGCCCTCAACAGCCGTGACTGTGGGGAGTGTGAGAGCAGCGGAGGGCAGCTGGCGGGTAAGCCCTAAACCCCATATGTGCCTTGAGGTCTGTTGTCACAACCAACATCCAGCACAAAAAAGGAGGTCTTCTGCCGCCAGGCTCCAGCACAAAGCCCTCAACAGCCGTGACTGTGGGGAGTGTGACAGCAGCTGAAGAAAGATGGTGTGGTTGAATCCTGAACAACCAGCAGGTCATCTGCCTCAAGCCGTGACTGTAGAGAGCCTGGCAGTAGCGGGAGGTAACTGGTTGGTATCAGAGGAGTGACCCCAAGCTTGACGAGAGCAGCTCCTCCCAGCCCCCTTGCTCACCTTGAAGTGCGTTGTCACAAACAGCAGGTCATCTGCCTCCAGCACAAAGCCCTCAACAGCCGTGACTGTGGTGAGTGTGGCAGTGGCGGGCGGCAGCTGGTTGGAGTCCGGCGAGTGCCCCAGGCCCCACGATAGCAGCTCCTCGCCGCAGAAATTGCCATCTCGGATTAGACAGGAGCTGGAAGGAAGGAAGCGGGAGAAGGGAGGAGGGAAGAGGGAGGAAGGAGGAGGGAGGAGGGAGGCCCCACGATAGCAGCTCCTCACCACAGAAATATCCATCATTGACTAGACAAGAGATGAAGGAGAACGGAGGGGAGGGAGGAAGAGAGAGCAAGGGAGCCAGCACACAGGAGTGATAGAAAGCTGGCCGTAACCACAGGAGCTACCATCCCAAACGAGGCCGGTCATAACCACAGGAGCTGTTCTTTCAGAAGCTACCATCCCACCCATATCAGTCAGGTGCTCAAGGGACGAAGAGAGGGAGAGAGTTGGTTGGGTGGGGGGGTGAACACACATGCATTGGTGAGCAGAAAATGTGTGGATGCACATACATGCACTCATGCATCCACAAATGCAAGTGCACACATGCGCACACACACGCACAAACACACACACACACACACACACACACACACACACACACACACACACACACACACACACACACACACACACACACACACACGCACACACGCACACGCACACGTAGGCATGGTTAAAATGCGATGCGATATCGCATCGCATTCTGTCTTATCGCGCATTATATCGCAGCGATGCAATATCGCAAAAAAGAAAGAAAGAAAGAAAGAAAGAAAGAAAGAGAGAAAAAAAGAGGGGGAAAAAAATAACAAAAACAAAAAAAACCGAAATCGCATATTGTTTTAGGGGACGATATTTAAAAATATCGCAGAAAAAGGCAATACATCATGCGATGCGATATAATATCGCATCGCATTTAGGGGCCACTGTTTTCCCGCCCTAAAAAAACGTGTTCCCACACCACAGGGCACGACAACGGCGGCTCTCCTAGGTTCGTGCAGAAGTAGGTAAGTGAATTGATGGGAGATGGGAATATTGTGGTTCCTCTCTCATGTGGAACGTGTTTGAGGGGATGGGGTTGGATTCTTTAGATGCAGGGGAGTTTAGTGCGGTTCAAGTGGTGGAAATTGGTTGGAGTTCCAACCAATTGACTTTGGGGGTCGAGATTTCAGTCCAACCCCCTAATCCCTTCAATCGCACACCACCACATCCCATCCAGAAAACCACTCGCCCACCGCCCACCACCAACCATAACAAATTTGAATCCCCACCGAACTCCCCTCCCTCAACCACACTGCACTCCTTCCCATCTAGAATTTCCAATCCTTCCTCTTATGTGCTCCAAGCTCTGCTCCTCACACAAACACCTCCCCCCAAACTGCCGCTTGCCATTTCCGCACGCCATTTCAGCAAGAGAAACCTAGATTAGCTTACCCTTATCTATTTTCGCTAAGTTCAGGGCCCTCGCCCATGTCCCCCCCCACTTGCTGGCGAAATTTCGCAACACGATACGCGAAAGTTTCGCGCGCGATATCTTTTTATCGCTTATCGCATTTTATCGCGAAAAAAATAGCGCGATAAAAACGCGATATCGCAAATATCGCGCGATATTATCGCATGGCATTGCTGCGATTTTTTTTTGATTTTTTTTTTTTTTTTTTTTACGCTGTAGCAAAATGCGATAGAAGGCGATGCGATGCGATTTAGCCATGCCTACACACACGCACTCTCTCTCTCTCTCTCTCTCTCTCTCTCTCTCTCTCTCTCTCTCTCTCTCTCTCTCTCTCTCTCTCTCTCTCACACACACACACACACACACACATCCCTGGAAGCCCCATGACTAGTGGTGTATGTGCTTACACAATCCGAGGCATACCTGGACGCCCCATGGCTCATGGTGTGTGTGCTCCGGATGGTGCCTCGAATGAGGAACAGCATCATCGATACGGGCTCGCCCTGCCGCACGATCTGTAGTGAGGGAAGTAGGATGGAGACGGAGCGACACGAATGACTTGTGGCGAATGTGGAACAGCATCTTGGGTACAGCATCTTGGGTATAGCATCATGGGTACACCATCATGGGTACAGCATCATGGGTGCGGGCTCAACTTGCCGCACGATCTGCGTTGAAGCAGCATAAGTGGATCGACAAGGCAGGGCCCCGCATGCAAGCAGCTGTACAGGGAGAAGCGCATGATATGGTACCATCCACCATCCATCGACCATCCAGCCATCCACCGTGAACTTTAACAGCGGGGTGGATGGTGCCTCAAACGAGGAACAGCGTATGATCTGCCCACTATCTGTCATGGACACGGGCTCGCCTTGCCGCACTATCTGTACGGATGACATGACACATGCGGATGGAGAAGCGCATGATGGGCCGATGCATGCATGACAGGATGGTGCCTCGAATCAAGAAAAGCACCACTGAAGCGGGCTCGCCTTGCCGCACTACGGACAGATGAATGGATGGACGGACAGACGGACGGACGGACGGACGGATGAACGGACGGATGGACGGACGGATGGACGGACGGATGGACGGACGGGCGGACGGACGGACGGACGGACGGGCGGGCGGGCGGGTGGGCGGGCGGGCGGGCGGGCGGGCGGGCGGGCGGGTGGGCGGGTGGGCGGACGGACGGACGGACGGACGGACGGATGGACGGAGGGATGGATGGATGGATGGATGGATGGATGGATGGATGAATGCACACAGCACACATTGCATGGGCACATGGATGGATGAACCAAGCATGCTTCACCATGTGAGTACATTCGTGTGTGTGTACATGTATGCATGCATGGGCATGTGTATGTGCGTGTGGATGTGCATGTGCATGGCCATGGGCATGGGCATGGGCATGGGCATAGGCATGGGCATGGGCATGGGCATGGGCATGGGCATGGGCATGGGAACGTGCATGGACACGGGCATGTGCATGTGCATGGGCATTGGCATGGGCATGGGCATGGGCATGGGCATGGGCATGGGCATGGGCATGGGCATGCGCATGGGCATGGGCATGTGCATGTGCATGGGCATGCACATGTGCATGTGCATGGGCATGTGCATGTGCATGTGCATGGGAATGGGCATGTGCATGTGCATGTGCATGTGTATGTGCATGGGCAAGGTCATCATACCTCTGTGCCATGGATGAGAATGAGGGGCTTGAGCCTTGAGAATGAGGGGCTTGAGCCTTGAGAATGAGGGGCTTGAGCCTTGAGAATGAGGGGCTTGAGCCTTGAGAATGAGGGGCTTGAGCCTTGAGAATGAGGGGCTTGAGCCTTGAGAATGAGGGGCTTGAGCCTTGAGAATGAGGGGCTTGAGCTTTGAGAATGAGGGGCTTGAGCCTTGAGAATGAGGGCCTTGAGCCTTGAGAATGAGGGGCTTGAGCCTTGAGAATGAGGGGCTTGAGCCTTGAGAATGAGGGGCTTGAGCCTTGAGAACGAGGGGCTTCAGCCTTGAGAACGAGGGGCTTGAGCCTTGAGAATGAGGGGCTTGAGCCTTGAGAATGAGGGGCTTGAGCCTTGAGTAGCACACCGCATGAAAATGAGAGCATAGTGCAGGTAGTTTTATGCAAGCACCTGCAAGCACCTGCAAGCAGCAAGCACCTGCAAGTCCTTGTAAGTACTTGCATACCTCTGAATACCTCTCAATACCTCTGCATGCTCACCTCTGTGCCATGGATGAGAATAAGCGGCTTGAGTCGCTCGCACACCGCATCCAGCGCTGCTGAATCCACCACTTGAAACAGCGGCACCTGGAGGAGACAGAAAGAGAAGGTAGGGGGAGGGGGAAAAAAGGGTGTAGGGGAAAGGGGGTGGAAGGGGCAGGGGGGTGGAAGGGGAAGGGGGTGGAAGGGGAAGGGGGGTGGAAGGGGAAGGGGGGTGGAAGGGGAAGGGGGGTGGAAGGGGAAGGGGGGGGGGGGGGGGGGGGGGGGGGGGTGGAGGGGAAGGGGGGTGGAAGGGGAAGGGGGGTGGAAGGGGAAGGGGGTGGAAGGGGAAGGGGGGTGGAAGGGGAAGGGGGGTGGAAGGGGAAGGGGGGTGGAAGGGGAAGGGGGGTGGAAGGGGAAGGGGGTGGAAGGGGAAGGGGGGTGGAAGGGGAAGGGGGGTGGAAGGGGAAGGGGGGTGGAAGGGGAAGGGGGGTGGAAGGGGAAGGGGGTGGAAGGGAAGGGGGTGGAAGGGGAAGGGGGGTGGAAGGGGAAGGGGGTGGAAGGGGAAGGGGGGTGGAAGGGGAAGGGGGGTGGAAGGGGAAGGGGGGTGGAAGGGGAAGGGGGGTGGAAGGGGAAGGGGGGTGGAAGGGGAAGGGGGTGGAAGGGGAAGGGGGGTGGAAGGGGAAGGGGGGTGGAAGGGGAAGGGGGTGGAAGGGAAGGGGGGTGGAAGGGGAAGGGGGGTGGAAGGGGAAGGGGGGTGGAAGGGGAAGGGGGGTGGAAGGGGAAGGGGGGTGGAAGGGGAAGGGGGGTGGAAGGGGAAGGGGGGTGGAAGGGGAAGGGGGGTGGAAGGGGAAGGGGGTGGAAGGGGAAGGGGGGTGGAAGGGGAAGGGGGGTGGAAGGGGAAGGGGGGTGGAAGGGGAAGGGGGGTGGAAGGGGAAGGGGGGTGGAAGGGGAAGGGGGGTGGAAGGGGAAGGGGGGTGGAAGGGGAAGGGGGGTGGAAGGGGAAGGGGGGTGGAAGGGGAAGGGGGGTGGAAGGGGAAGGGGGGTGGAAGGGGAAGGGGGGTGGAAGGGGAAGGGGGGTGGAAGGGGAAGGGGGGTGGAAGGGGAAGGGGGGTGGAAGGGGAAGGGGGGTGGAAGGGGAAGGGGGGTGAAAGGGGAAGGGGGGTGGAAAGGGATAAGTCAGGAAAAACGTGGCAAACTGCATCCAGCGCTGCTGAATCCACCACTTGAAACAGTTGCACCCAGAGCAGGAGAGATCCACATCCACATGTGACAAGAGACAAGAGACAAGATACAGAGTATTGCTCTGTGGTTAATACGTTTCAACAGTGACAAACAGACCCATCCTCAGGATGTTCATCAGCACGCTCCTGACCATCTCTCCTCCCCTCGTCAGGAGAGACTTCAAGCGACACCTGTGCTCGGACCAGCGACACCTAAAGCAGGGTGAATCCCCCTCCTACCAGTGAATTTCTGCTGCTCCTGCCTCAACACACATGCTGAGATGCCTCAGCACATGCTGAGAGTGTTGAAGCATGAACCTTCCCCGCCTCCCTTTCTTGACTAGGTCCAGGCACAGGTGTCGCTTGATATCCCCCCTGAAACTCCTTGGGAGGCTTCTATTGAGCTCCTCCTCGTTCATCCCCCTTGTGGCAGGGAAGTTCTGCTGCTCCTGCCACAGCAGGCTGCTGGGCACTGACAGCATGTCAACCTACTGCTCGTTACCTTCTTGACAAGGTCCAGGCAGAGGTGTCGCTTGATATCCCTCCTCAAGCTCCTTGGCAAACTCCTGATCAGCTCCTCCTCGTCGATGCCCCTCGTGGCAGTGAAGTTCTGCTGCTCCTGCCGCAGCACACGCCGCTGCAGGGCAGGTGGCAGCTGGTGGCGGTTCATCCACCAGGCGAGGTCCCGTCTTCTCAGCTGCATCTCCTCCATGCGCGATGTGATGCTGTGCAGAAACACCTGCGGGAGGGGAGAGAGTGGAGGAAAAGAGAAGGGGTGAGGGGGATAGACGAGCGAGATATTTCAGCTGCATAGCAGCATGCATTTCCTCCATGCTAGATGTGATGCTGTGCAGGAACACCTGCGCATGCAAGGGGGCACGAGAAATGGGAGGGATGGGAATGGGCAGGGCAGGTGGCAGCTGGTGGCGGTTCATCCCCCAGGCGAGATCTCGCCTTCGTAGCTGCATAGCGGCATAGCTGCGGCTCCTCCATGCGAGATGTGGTGCTGTGCAGGGGCGATGCGATGCTGTGCAGGAGCACCTGAAGTGAGGGGAGGAGAGTGGAGGGGGAGACAGTGGAGGGGGAGACAGTGGAGGGGGAGACAGTGGGGGGGAGACAGTGGGGGGGGAGACAGTGGGGGGGAGACAGTGGGGGGGGAGACAGTGGGGGGGAGACAGTGGGGGGGAGACAGTGGGGGGGGGGGGGAGACAGTGGGGGGGGAGACAGTGGAGGGGGAGACAGTGGAGGGGGAGACAGTGGAGGGGGAGACAGTGGAGGGGGAGACAGTGGAGGGGGAGACAGTGGAGGGGGAGACAGTGGAGGGGGAGACAGTGGAGGGGGAGACAGTGGAGGGGGAGACAGTGGAGGGGGAGACAGTGGAGGGGGAGACAGTGGAGGGGGAGACAGTGGAGGGGGAGACAGTGGAGGGGGAGACAGTGGAGGGGGAGACAGTGGAGGGGGAGACAGTGGAGGGGGAGACAGTGGAGGGGGAGACAGTGGAGGGGGAGACAGTGGAGGGGGAGACAGTGGAGGGGGAGACAGTGGAGGGGGGGGAGACAGTGGAGGGGGAGACAGTGGAGGGGGAGACAGTGGAGGGGGAGACAGTGGAGGGGGAGACAGTGGAGGGGGAGACAGTGGAGGGGGAGACAGTGGAGGGGGAGACAGTGGAGGGGAGACAGTGGAGGGGGAGACAGTGGAGGGGGAGACAGTGGAGGGGGAGACAGTGGAGGGGGAGACAGTGGAGGGGGAGACAGTGGAGGGGGAGACAGTGGAGGGGGAGACAGTGGAGGGGGAGACAGTGGAGGGGGAGACAGTGGAGGGGGAGACAGTGGAGGGGGAGACAGTGGAGGGGGAGACAGTGGAGGGGGAGAGTGGGTAAGGGGGATGCACGAGCCAGAGATCTCGCCTGCTGTGCTGTGCTGTGCTGTGCTGTGCTGTGCTGTGCTGTGCTGTGCTGTGCTGATGCACGAGAGAGATCTCGCCTGCTGTGCTGTGCTGTGCTGCAGGGACACCTGAAGGGAGGGGAGACGACAGGACAGGGTGCTTTGGCAGACAGTAAGTGCTGCAATTGGCGGAGAGGGTGCATGTGCACACACAAGGTGGCAACTGGTGGCGGTTCATCCACCAGGCAGGCGTGCCCCTCCTTCATACTCGCATGTCCTCCATTCCCACGACGATGCTCTGCAGGAACACCTGATTAAGGTGTTGTGGGTCTGACAACTAATCGCTCTGCAGGAACACCTGAGGGAGGGGAGGGAGAGGGGAGGGGACGAGGCAGGGAGGGGGGAGCGTAGTGCGAAAGTGTGCAGGAATGCCTGCGCAAGCGAGGGAGGAAATGGGGGAAGGAGGCCTGGCAATAAACCTGGAGGGACAAACACCTACACATGAAAGGGTGGCAAGGCAACAGGAGGCGGCGCGAGGACAGCGGAGGCGACTTTTGATAGGCGCCTAAAAAAACAGCGGTGGGAGCAAGGGCGGCAAGCACCACCTACCTTCCTGGGTATTGCCAATGAGTAAAGCGACGGCATTAATTAGCCCCAAAAGCACCATGGTGACACGTTTCATGTGCAGTCATAAGCATGTGCGTTACAAGCACCTCCGTTACGAGCATCTCCGTTACAAGCACCTTTGTTAGATGCGACCCACCTGGAAATTGTAGTGGAGCAACGATCAACAGCCCTGATAGCACCATGCTGAGCTGATGGATTCTCTCTGCTCTGGTATAAGTATCCCCGTTACAAAGAAGCTCGCTAGTAACACAAACCTAGAAGTTGCGGACGAGCAGAGTGACGAGCACGAGTCCCGAGATCACCATGATCACACTATGGTGGTACTGATAGCATCTCTTTATAAGCATCCTCGATAAGCACGCTGGATATTGCTGATGAGCAGAGTGGCAAGCATCAGTCCCAATATCACCATGATGACTGTCGCTCGTAGTATGCGTATCTCCATTATAAGACAACTCGCTACAAGCACGCACCTGGATGTTGCCGATGAGTAGAGTGACGAGCATGAGTCCCGAGATCACCATGATCACAGAAAAGGTCGTTTCCGGAAAGTTGGTGCTGGGCTCCAGGGCGTTGCCAAACGTGCTGAGGGGGAGGGGGGGGAGGAGGGAAGGAGAGAGGGGGGGGGGGGGGGTATTTTTGCCACAGCTGATCCGTCCTCCATCAGCTGCTGCAGAGAGCCCTGCTGTGAATCCCAGGCATAAGTTGGGTTGAGCCCCCTTATCACCCTCAGTCGAGCCCCATTCCTCCATTGTGTCTGCAACTCCCCCGGTTGAACTCCCCCGGTTGAACTCCCCCGGTTGAACTCCCCCGGTTGAACTCCCCCGGTTGAACTCCCCCGGTTGAACTCCCCCGGTTGAACTCCCCCGGTTGAACTCCCCCGGTTGAACTCCCCCGGTTGAACTCCCCCGGTTGAACTCCCCCGGTTGAACTCCCCCGGTTGAACTCCCCCGGTTGAACTCCCCCGGTTGAACTCCCCCTGTTGAACTCCCCCAATTGAACTCCCCCAGTTGAACTCTCCATCCCCTTCTACAGAAAAGCGTCACTTGCAGCGTGCCGATGCCACACTCCTTATCGAGCCAACTTATGGGTTTCAGGTCTCACCTAGTGTCATGACGCCGAAGAAGAGCCCGAGGAATATCTTGGCCAGGGCGGATCCGTCCTTCATCAGAGAGCCATGCTGTAGGTCCCAAAGTTGATGCTCCCAAAACAGTCACCCTGGACATTATCACCCCGTCTCTGTTCACCTTAGCGTCATGACGCCGAAGAAGAGCCCGAGGAATATCTTGGCCAGGGGGGACCCATCCTTCATCAGCTGAAGCGCCATGCCGTAGATCCCAAAGTTGAAGTCCCCATTGCCCTCGAAGCATGTCGCCTGCAGCGTGGCATTGCCGCCCCACGCCGCCCACGCGGGGCTCACGTCGGCGTCTATCGTCTCGCTTCCGTCGGGGCACGATACGAAGTTGGGGTTGCACACGGACACTGGGACCTGGGGAGGAAGGGGGAGGGGGGGTGGGGAAGATGAGGGGAAGGGGGAGGGGATGGGGAGAAGGGGGCAAGGAGGTTCGCGACACCCCGTGTGTTGCCGTCTCACCCCGTCATCATCAGGACACGCCACGAAGTTGGGTTTGCAGACAGACGTGGGGACCTGGGGGGGATAAGTAGGAGAGGAGAGGGGGAGTGGCGGGGTAAAAGGAATAAAAGGGGGAAGGGGGATGGGGGTGGTGGGAAGGGTGGGGGTGGCGACTGGGAAAATAGAAGGGGGGATTGGGAAGGCTGCATGTCATGTCAGTGACTGTAGGTGACTTTTGAGTCAACTCAATAGTAGGGGGGATTGGGAAGGCTGCATGTCATGTCAGTGACTGTAGGTGACTTTTGAGTCAACTCAATAGTAGGGGGGATTGGGAAGGCTGCATGTCATGTCAGTGACTGTAGGTGACTTTTGAGTCAACTCAATAGTAGGGGGGATTGGGAAGGCTGCATGTCATGTCAGTGTGACTGTAGGTGACTTTTGAGTCGACTCAATAGTAGGGGGAATTGGGAAGGCTGCATGTCATGTCAGTGACTGTAGGTGACTTGTGAGTCGACTCAATAGTAGGGGGAATTGGGAAGGCTGCATGTCATGTCAGTGACTGTAGGTGACTTTTGAGTCGACTCAATAGTAGGGGGAATTGGGAAGGCTGCATGTCATGTCAGTGACTGTAGGTGACTTGTGAGTCGACTCAATAGTAGGGGGAATTGGGAAGGCTGCATGTCATGTCAGTGACTGTAGGTGACTTTTGAGTCGACTCAATAGTAGGGGGAATTGGGAAGGCTGCATGTCATGTCAGTGACTGTAGGTGACTTGTGAGTCGACTCAATAGTAGGGGGAATTGGGAAGGCTGCATGTCATGTCAGTGACTGTAGGTGACTTTTGAGTCGACTCAATAGTAGGGGGAATTGGGAAGGCTGCATGTCAGTGACTGTAGGTAAGCCTGCAAAAACAAATACGGTATCGAACACGGCAGGAAAAAAATAGTATTTGTCGAATACTTGTGTGTTTTCGTATTTGATCGAATACCACTTCCTAATCGAATACAAATACGGTTTGAATATTGTGTTTGACGACGAATACGGAATCGAATACGAATAGGTGGTCAGAACAGGGTTTCACATGTCTTCTAGGGCTTCCCACCGAAGACCGAAATAGAAATAGCCCCTCTAACCTTGATAGTCTATTACCCCCCTCCCCAATCACTTCCACTCCTGGTATATTGTCGAAGTTGCTGTGATTCTGGCAGGTTATTTATGGAACAACATGTGCTCAAGAATCCTGTTTTCGTTTTTGTCCACGATTGATAGGTTTTATGGAGGCCTCAATCAGCCAATAGCGCAACCTTCAGATTTCACTGATTTCGCTTATACTGCGCTGCCGATTTTGAGAGGAAAGGGGAGTCGGGGAGATGTATGGTAGACTCACACAAATACGAATATTTTCCCGAATATCGAATATTTGAGTGTCGAATATTCGGAACTTGCGAATATTTGAGTGTCGAATACTGTCGAATAGCTTCAGGATGTCAGATTCGTTCTGTATTTCATATTTGTCGAATACCGAATACGAATCCGAAACCGGTGATATTTGTCTGCAGGCTTAACTGTAGGTGACTTTTGAGTCGACTCAATAGCAGGGGGGATTGGGAAGGCTGCATGTCATGTCAGTGACTGTAGGTGACTTTTGAGTCAACTCAATAGTAGGGGGGATTGGGAAGGCTGCATGTCATGTCAGTGACTGTAGGTGACTTTTGAGTCGACTCAATAGTAGGGGGAATTGGGAAGGCTGCATGTCATGTCAGTGACTGTAGGTGACTTTTAAGTCAACTCAATAGTAGGGGGAATTGGGAAGGCTGCATGTCATGTGAGTGACTGTGCGCGGAAGAAGGGACCCATGCCGCCCTCGCGGGACCCATGCCACCCTCGCGGGACCCATGCCGCCCTCGCGGGACCCATGCCACCCTCGCGGGACCCATGCCGCCCTCGCAGGACCCATGCCGCCCTCACGGGACCCATGCCGCCCTCGCGGGACTCAGGTTGGCGTCCATCGACTCGGCACGGCATGTATGCGTGGAGTATATCAGTCATGGCACGGCATGTATGCGTGGAGTATATCAGTCATGGCACGGCATGTATGCGTGGAGCCTAGCAGGCAGCAGTCATGGCATGGTGCGCGTGTGTGCGTGGCAGGCACCACATGGGCCCACCTGCTGGCACAGCGTCTGGAAGCATGTGGCGACTCGTTCGGATGCCAGCAGGTACCAGAGAGAGCCGAACACCTGATAAAGAGCCGGGGGGGGGGGGGGGGGGGGGGGAGGGGGGAGGGGGGGTCAAGAACGGGGGGGACAGGGGGTAGAGGGAAGGAGAAAAGTTTCAGTCGACTCAAAAGCATGTGGCGACTCGTTCAGATGCCAGCAGATACCAGAGAGAGCCAAACACCTGATGAGGGACAAGACGGGGGGGGGGTGGTTGAGAGAGGAGGGAGGGGAAGGGGGGGGTGAGGAAAAAGGTTTTGAAAGGTGCTGTCAACAACAGAGGTCATGGCATGGCATGGCATGGCATGGCATGAGACTGGCCTCAGAGAGTCTGTGTGAGAGAGTTGAAGGGAGGAGACGAGGAGATTATTGGCCACCCACCTCGTCTCGTCCCTTCACCTCTGCCTGCTTCCACTCTCTCAACCCCGCAACAAATGTACCCCCCCATGCATCCCCCCATGCATCCCCCCATGCATCCCCCCATGCATCCCCCCGTGCATCCCCCCGTGCATCCCCCCATGCATCCCCCCGTGCATCCCCCCGTGCATCCCCCCATGCATCCCCCCGTGCATCCCCCCGTGCATCCCCCCATGCATCCCCCCGTGCATCCCCCCGTGCATCCCCCCGTGCATCCCCCCGTGCATCCCCCCGTGCATCCCCCCGTGCATCCCCCCGTGCATCCCCCCATGCATCCCCCCGTGCATCCCCCCATGCATCCCCCCATGCATCCCCCCATGGCGCCATCCCACCCGCCAATGCATCCCTCACCAGCAGACTAACATGGGCAGCAACGATGTAGGCCGGCCCACAAGATTCAAAGCAGAGCACTACCACGCCGCACCCAAGATAATCCCATTCGCTCGCAGCACTCGCACGGTCCCTCATCCAGAGGCATGTTGAGTGAACTCAACACTCACACATTCCCGCGGTGACACGTCCCCACACATCCTCACACTCACACATTCCCACTCACACATCCCCAAATCCACACATCCCCATACTCACACATCCCCAAGCTCACATGGGCGGCGATGATGTAAGCCACGAGATTGAGCGCGAAGCCCCACCACGCTGCACCGAAGATGTATCCGTTGACTCGCTGTGCCCGCACGGTGAAGCGGGCGGCGAGGACGAGCTTGAGCATGTACTGTACAATGATGGCGGCGAAGCATATAGTGATGCCGCCTGTAGAGAAATCGTACGAGGCCTTGTCCATTCCGATTAAGATGGGGGCAACCACCCACACAAACACCTGGAAATATTAGATAGAGGGGAGAGAAGATTTTTAGCCTATATTTTTGTTAGGCATGGACTTTGTAGTTCAACTTAACCTACCAGATACCGTTACTGTACGAAGCTACAGTAATTGGCCTTGGCCAATTTGAACCCCCACACGCGTACCTGCGGAATCGGCAGAATCGCGATGAAATCGAAGACCACCCCGCCGAGCGAGAACCTCGACCGCGCGATCGCCCTCGCATTAGTCACCATCTCGCTGCCGTGCCCCCTCGCTATAGCCTCCTTCGACACGTAAGCCGTGCGCACCGAAAGCAACGCATCTACCAGGAAAACCGCGTCGCACGCACTCCGAAGCACCATGAGGACTATAGAAAAGGTTGTTTCTAAGTATAGGCACGACACGTCGGGACTGTACGAAAGTAGGTACAGGAAGCAAGGATCGAGGGCTAGCGATGTGCCGTGAACCACGGCGACGAATCGCATCCATTGCTTCATACGCGTTGTACGCGGGTCCAGTACTCGTCCGAACCACCACCAGGTGGTTCCCCAGAGCGCGTCAGATTTCATCTCCTCGAGCGGAATTTCCGGGAAGTTTTGCGACACGAGTCGCACCATCCCGCCGTGAAACGAGGGTCGCAGAGGACCGCTGTCTCGGCAAGTCTCGCGCCGCTTTCCGAAAATCCCGGACATGACGCGGTTGCTGAGGCTCCTGATGCTGCCGCCGATTCCGCCGTCGCTGCTGCCGCGACTGCCGCCGCGACTGCCGCCGTGACTTCCGCCGTAATTATCGCCGCGTTTAACGCCGCTGCGCCGGAAGCTCCAGCTGGCATTGCGGCTCCTCGGCCGCAACCCATCGGACCCGCCAGTCGCGGCGGCCGTCGCCGCAGCCGTCGCGGAGGCGGCGCGGCGCGCGCTAACGTGCGCAGCGGAGGTGGAGAAGGCGGATGGGGGAACGGCGTAAGCGGACGTGGAGGTTGTAACGGGAGTCGAATGGAGGTCAGAGGCGGTAGGCGGAAGCGCAGCGCGCGAAGCGAGTTCCGCCTCGCTCGCTCGCCCGTGGAAAGGAGGCTTCGCGGCGCGTTGGCTGTGCCGCGAGGCCATTGCATAAATAAGAATGCGACGATAGAATTAGAGATGGAGCAGCATCACGGGAAGCTCTACCACTACGCAACCCTAGGGCATAGGAACCTCGTGAATTTGTCTTCAAGCAAAACTCTCGGGACTACAGAACTAGCTTATGCCAGGGCAATCCTAGGATCCATACCCTATAATGAGTTCTGAATCCATCCACAAAGTGGTTCACACTAAAGCGCGTACGTGGTTTGAGATGGAGGTTGAGCTTGGCAGGTATGGGGAAGCCGGTGGAATTAGGGTTCTGGGGCATCCCCCGACAAAGCCAACGAAAAAAGTTTGAAACAACGTGGCTGGAGCGGGTGAGCTGGAAACCCAGGTTCGATGACGGAACCTGACGAAATTTTGCGAAGAAATGTTCTACGACGGGTTTCCAGCTTCTCTCCTTTGGTCCCACCATTCCGATCGTTGTGTTTAGGGTACGCTACATTGCGTCCGTTTCGGAGGTTTCATGGCAATAATTTCGATTCTATGTTATTTTAGGATTTCAATTCTGACTCGATAAAAACGATCACCAATATCGATCTCAGACGCAACACAGGCATGTTCCATATCTGAGACTTCTAATCTCGGGTATCGATTTGCAGCTGGACATCATGGCATTTCGTCGAAGACTTCGTCGAAACCCAGCAACCCTCCCTGGACCTCGCATGTGCGGCGCGAGACAATGGGGATTTGCCTTGTCACATGTTCGCAATATCACAAGTTCACATGGGGGCTTCTGTTTCGTGGGACTTGGGGGTGGGGCGATCTGGTACTTAGTCAAGGAGAATGGTTTGTGTTTTGGATGGGCAGTGATTCCCGGTTTTGTTTCGAAAGTGATCTTCCCTGTTATGATTTAGAAGATGTCAATGAACTATATCGTGAGAATACAAGGTCGCTATTGCAATGAAAGCACGAGGTTATATAGGAGTAGACGTACTAGGGTGATAACCTCGGGACGTGGGTAGGTTCGGCAATGTGGCGACAGTGTCGGACGCAACTCGGGGAAAGGTTGGGCCGATAATTAAGGCCGAACGTGACGAGTCGAGGAGTTCGGGTGTACGCGGTAGCGGACGACTCAGTAAGGAATGGAAATTCCTTACACTACCCTATCAGAATAATTGAATAATGGTAAAGTGAGTGTACACACAAATATATCTAAGTTTTGTATCCTCTAAGAGGTGACTCTATACAGTCTATACAAACATGACAAATACACATGTTTGACACACCCCCTAGACTGCATAGGGGAATACCCTAAACAAGCAGCTCAGGGCGGCACTACTAGTCCAACCTCTGAGGCAAGGGTCTGAGAGACCGGTCAGAAGGAGTACAGACAAGGCAAGCACAAGAGCAGGGCGGCACTACTAGTCCAGCCACTGGGAGAGGACACAAGTCCAGTCTGAGTATACATATAAAGGACAGTACAAAGTCAAGGTCCTAGCAAGTGAGAGGCTACAGGAACTAGACCAAGCTGTACACAGTGCCGCTGATGATCTTTAGGCGCAAGCGCCTTCGTAAAGATATCAGCCGTGTTGGCACCTGAGGCCAAGTGTACTACGCGAGCCTGACGTCGCTGCTGTAGCTCACGCAGGAGGAAGTACCGCAACTGAATGTGCTTCGCTCTGCCCTCGAGTCGAGGCTCCTGACACAGGAGGATCATGGCCCTGTTGTCAGCGAACAGGACCGGGGCAGAGCTAGGCCGCTCACCTAAGTCAGTGAGCAAGAAGGTCAGCCAGCGGAGCTCCTGTGCCGCCATGGCACCGGCGTAGATCTCAGCCTCACAGCTGGACTGTGCAACAGACGAGGAGCGAGTAGCTCTCCACGAGACGGCACCTGAGCCAAGGCTGAAACAGTAGCCCTGGGTAGACCGGAGTGTCTCAGCGTCGTTTGCCCACGAAGCGTCTGTGTGCCCAGTAAGGACCGCTGGCCTGCGTCCTCCTAGCACAAACCCCATGCCCGATGTACTAGCAAGATAACGCAGAACCCTCTTAGCGGCAGACCAGTGCTGCGGTCGGTGTCTGCCTGTGGCCACAAAGCGAGCCAGGATGCTGAGAGGGTATGCGAGATCTGGGCGAGTGCAAGTCATCAGGTACATGAGGCAACCCACCAGCTCTGCGTAGGGGCCGCTGGGCTCTACCGACTCCTCAGGCACTGGAGCAGAGAGTCTGTGGTCTACAGGCAGAGGGGTGGGCTGTGCAGAGGAGAACTGAAGGCTGAACCTCTGAAGGACCTGGCGCACCAAGTGTGACTGAGTCAGGGTGATGGTGCGCGCAGCTCTGTCCCTGGAGATCTGCAAGCCAAGGTAACGGCGCAGTTCTCCAAGGTCAGTGCAGGTGTGTCTCTTCAGCAGCTCTGCCTTCACGGAGGCCAGCGCGTCCCTGTCTGCTGTGGCAAAGACCAGGTCGTCGACGTAAACGAGGATGTAGAACGGAGTCTGGCCAGCACGAACGAAGAGTGACGGGTCTGCAGAAGACGGAAAGAACTGCAGGTCAGCAAGCGTAGCACGCAGAGTGTCGTGCCACTCACGGGGAGCCTGGCGCAGGCCGTAGACGGGGCGCCGCAGGAGCCACTGGGTCCCAGGAGGGAAGGTGCCAGTAAAGCCCGGAGGGCGGCGCAGGTAGACCTGCTCGTGTAGGCTGCCCTGAAGGAAGGCAGTGTTGAAGTCAAGGGAGTGAAGCTCGTAGTCACGCTGAGCAGCTAGGTGTAACAGAACCCGAAGAGTAGTCATCTTCGGGGTCGGAGCGAAAGTCTGGAAGAAGTCCACCCCCTCGCGTTGACTGAAGCCTCTAGCCACATAGCGCGCCTTGAAGACAGGCGGCTCTCCAGGAGGGCGCTTCACCTTGAAGAGCCAGCGGCCATCGACTACGTTCACCCCAGGTGGGGGAACTGCGTCGACGAAGGTGCCGGTGGATCTCCAAGATGCCATCTCCTGCTCCATGGCAGCTATCCACTGCGAGGCCCAGGGTCCCGAAGTCGCCTCAGCGTAAGTGCGAGGGGTCGGGATGTCGAAAGCGTCTGGGTCACCCTCAGGGACTAGCAACATGGAACAGAGATGGGGAGCAGCCTCGGAGAGGAAAGCAAGCTCGAACTGGCGGTCCTCCAGGACGTCACTGCCAAGGGCAAGAGCACCCCCGACAGACGGAGGACAGGCAGGGTCAGAGACCAGAGCGGTGGCGTAGTCAAGGCGGCGGGTAGAGGCGAAGTCAGCGACAGCAGCGACAAGAGCGTCAAGGCACGAGACTGGAACGGACGGGTCGGTAACGAGAGAGGCAAGGACCCGAGGAACGAGAGGACGAGCGGCACGAAGGTAGTCGGACAGCGGGGGGGGCGCAACAACAAGGGAGGACGGAGGAGGCGACGGCAGAAGGGGAGGACGAGACGCGTGTGAACGAAGCAACATAGGGTGGAAGCGCAGGACAGGCGAGGCAGGACGAGCACGGGAGGGACGGTGAGACCAGACGTGCGATGGAGGAGTCGGGTCAGGAGACAGGGGAGGGGACACAGGAGGGGAACGAGGGGGGAGACGGGCCGGGGACGAGTCCGGCGGAGGGAAAACAGGGCCGTAGACAGGAAGAGGAGGAGACGGTCGGGGAATAACCGACGCCGGGTCGGGGGACGGAAGGCCGAGCAGGCGAAGGGCGGACACCGGCGGGGACTGCTGCTGCGGCGGCACAACGGCGACACCTGGACCGCAAGCTGCTCCTCGGCTACCACCGGCACTCTGCACACCCACACCCCCAGAGGGACCACCCTCAGGGCGACCGGGACGAGCACCCCCAGAGTCAGCGAACGGGGGCTGCGACTGCGGCGGCGGCGGCGACGGCGACGGCTGCAGTGGCGGCAGGGACGGCGGAGGAGGGGACTGGGGAGGGGACACCTGGGGAGGGGCGGCCGGCGAGGACTGCACCGGAGGGCCACCAGAGTCAGAAGACTCCTCAACCGGGTCCACGGACGGAAGGGGGGTGACGTGGGAGACACTAGAGGGGGCGGGACGGGAAGGAGGAGGAGGAGGGGCAGGGACTACCGGGGAAGGGGTGACCAGGAACAGGGGGGGGGTAACCGGGGGACCACGGTGGGGGAAGCGGCGGTAGTAGGAGACGGACTCGTCAAAGGTGACGTCACGAGAGTGAAAGAAGCGGTGAGACGGCGGGTGGTAAAAGTGCCAGTCGGACGCGTCAAGGGGAAAACCGAGGAAGACGCAGGGAAGGGTGCGGGCAGTGAGCTTGTCCGTGCCGGAGGCACGGACGTGAGCAAGGCAGCTGTGAGAGTACGACTCCGTTACACCACTTGGCCTTTTCCATATTTCATCTTCATTTCATTCCTCTTTTTATCTCATCTCCTTTTGCCTCATATTCCCCATTTTCCATTATCCTTTGGTTTCTTCCCTTATTATAATTATACCACCGACCAAGCATGGAATGTTCTAGACACGCTATCTAGCGTAATCCTGTCGTAATCTCTTAAAACCAATAGCCTCGCGTGGCTATACGCAGGGTGATTCTATTTTCTAGAAGGGTCTATTCCTTTAGATAGGATAAACCTGGTTACTTGATGTACTCTGGAAGTATAAAAGCGCCTTGTACTGATTGATAGTGCAACCTTTCCTCGACACATTCGATCCTGTGACACTTGGTAATCAGAGCTTTTCTCACTCGGCCGCGCTCAGCTAAGCAGCAGCAGCGGGGATCCTGCCTCGAAAAACCGCCGGGGGCGACTAATTCGACGCCGATTCTGGTAAGCACCAGCTCCGCGATTTTCGAATTACCCCCTCCGTGCGTGTTTTGAACAGGATGGCAACATTCGACAACACCGAGGTTACCCAGCAGCTCTTCGCGCGCATCGCAGCCCTTCAGGAGGAAATGCGAGCGGATCGCGAAGCGTGGCGAAACCAGTTCGAGCGAGTAACTCGACTCGCCGGAGCACAGCACGAGACGACAACGGCGACGACGCAGCAGTCGCAGCAGTTTCTCGAGGCTCCAAAACCGCGCCCACCTGAGCCGTTCGATCCGAGCGATCGAAACTCCGACGCCCGCAGATGGATCGCCGGGATGGAGATCTACTTCGCAGCCGTCGGATGGAGCTCGCCAGTCTGGGACGGTCAACGTGTACGACTCGCGGCGACACTGATGCGAG